TCAATGCTTAATTCTGAAAAGCGGTAAATCCACAGCATAAAAATTGATGCAGATTTTACCGCCATTCTTTTCGCCGGAGACTGTATATACTTATATTCAAGGTTATATTTTTACAGATTTTATTACTAATGAATTTGGTAATAATTTTTCTCTTTTTTCACATTGTGATCCAAAACATATTATTTATAATATTGGAACAACTAATATGCAATTAGAAGAAAATATTCTTTTTTTAAAAGGAATGGCCAAAACTATATTTTCAAATCTTAATGATATTAAAGTTCATGATATTATAGTCAAATTTTAATTATAAATAATAAATCCAAATATATCAATCAATGTTATAGGTTAAATTTGTATCATTTTATTGGTTTTTATAGGTTATAGCTTAGATTTGTATCAGCATCTTAATAAAAAAACATATAACTAACATATAAAAAATTTTTTTTAGTACATAACCTACCTTATAAGTTTCCAGGGTCCTGCTTCAACCCTAATCTCATTGCGAACCCTTTTGCAATTCCTTATAACTCCTCAACTCTCATCCATTTTTATAAGTTGAAAAGAAGCGCCCATACTGACTATGAGATAACAAAGCTTTTTAATAAAATGTTTTGCAGAAAGACATTTCTGATGCTCAACTTCAATAAAAGTTATTATGGCTGGAAATGAATCAACTTTATAAGAAATGATATTATTATTCCATTCACGATGTCCCTTATTGCTGTAGGCAAATTATTAGGTCGAACACTTTCAAGCTCTGCTCGATATTTTCACGACTTGGCGGGCAAAAAAGTTCATTAGAATTCTTCTGATAGAATAAAGAAACAATATGACAGGGGAAATCACGAATTTGGTAAAGCATTTGTGCAAGAGCTTCAACATGAACTGGAGTGGCAATATTTGTAATTGCTATGACTATACAATACCCTCCAAAAGTAATGGCGGTAGGGATGATACTTAATTTTTAAATTGTAATATCTCTATTATTCTGATTTATCAC